TTAAATACTGAAACTTTTTACTACATAGTGCATTCCAAGAAAGCAATGCATTGTTGCTATTAACCTCCACCTTATCTGTGTAACAAAATGACAATACGCGATTTGCACTAAGTGATCACGTGATCTAATCCGCCATTGTGGCTGGTCGCGCGACTACTTTTCGGTATGACAAAAATGTAAACAAAGATGGCGGAGCCGGCTTTTTCGACTTCAAAACAAAGGTGAGTAATGCCATTTCTACGTAGTAACACACCTTTTCTTAGTAAAAATATACATTTAGTTGCTTTTTGCTGTTGATTTGTGCCTAGAAATCGAAATGTAAATTCAAAAAACAGAGTTTTTCTTGACATAAACGACGTGCATGTGTGAAGTTTAGATTTTATCACGACCGTTATTTTTCGTAACCTGACCTTAGTTAAGCGGGACTTTTGAAAAAAATCGCTTCAGTTTTGGACTTTTCTTAGTAGTTAATTAAAGAATATGTGTAAATACAACTATTTTGATGCGGTTTATTGTACTTTGACACATTATATCCTCATTTTACGACAGTGAAACTTTAAGTCTTGACACTATTCCTAAACTAACTTTCGCTGATGTCGAGTGCTACACAAAGAAACTGAGTTCATGTGGAAGTACACAGAAGGCATATAAATACTTTGCTGAGCCTGGATACCTCCATAATATCAAAAGTAGGTTAAATTACTCTTGTTTGACGACATACTATCTTTATATCGATGTATAAATTACATACTTTTTGAAATGTTTTTCGCCGATACCTCAAAAAACATGAAATAACRTACTGCTTTTGTTTTTACTTTCTATAGTCTACAATACTAACCAAGAAACATATATATATGCTAATTGTCATCGGTCGATGAAAAAGAATGACCCGCCACATAATCTTCATACAAGTATAAATATAGTATCAAAAGAAATTAATGGTAAATGTTCATGTGTCGCTGGACTTGGAGGGTTTTGTCACCACATTATTGGATTACTATTTTTGATAGCACATTACAAACAGCTTGATCTAAAGACTGTACCAGACGAACTAACTTGTACCATGATAGCTCAACGATGGAGCATACCAAGAGGAAAAACTATCAAACCACAGTGTGTTGAAGACATCCTTGTGAAAAAGCCTCAAAGTGGAGCCAACTATAACAAATTCATAAAAAGTAACCTATACTCTCCCTCTTCCCACTACCTTCTACTATCTGGTCCCAATGAACTAAGAACACTGAAAATGCTTGATCCACAACCACTACTTACTACACTTTTCCCTCATGAATCGTCTCCTTCTGAACTTTCTGCAGTCTCAACTAAATTTGGTTTATCAGCCAAAGGAAGTGTACTCTCCTACCAACAAAAACTTTCTGCACGATACGTCATTAATGATTACAGTAACTCAGATTTCCCAGACCTTCCTATAGACACCACTCCAAGATTTTGTAATAACGTTTCCCTTTGCTTATCCAATGACAAACATCTTAAATTTGAATCACTTGGAATAACATATGACATGTCTAGGATAATTGAAAAGAAAACAAGGGATCAAGATGAAAGTGCTATATGGCATTCCCTAAGACTCACTAGAATAACAGCCAGCAAGTTTGGATTGGTGGCCAGAAGAATTTCAAATTTTGACACACTAGTGCAACAACTAAGGCCATCAAGACATGTGCAAACAGCAGCAATGAAAAGAGGAAGTGAAATGGAGGCCACAGCTGCTGGTGTGTATGCAAGAAAGGAAAAAAATAACAGTGTGAACATCTTCCCATCTGGATTGGTACTGCACCCAGAATGTCCCTGGCTTGGCTGTTCTCCTGACAGAAAAGTTTTTGACTTGGAAGAACTCAAAAATGGTGGTAATCCTTATGGGCTTCTAGAGGTTAAAGTTGTAAAGGAGGGGGCAGAGAACTTTGACAATGTGACCTATCTTARAACTGACCCCAACAGTAATGAATTAGTTTTAAACACTCATCATATCTATTATTATCAGGTACAATGTCAATTAGCTCTTACTGGATTAGATTGGTGCGATTTTTTTAGTTATATTAATGATGACAAATACTTTTGTCAAAGAATAATTTATGATGCAGACTTTTTTCAAGAATGCAAGGACAAAGTTGATACTTTTTATTTTGATTTCTTTTTGTAAAATTGTACTTAATAATGTAATTAAGCACTTATATTGTAATTATATATACATATTATGTAGGTTTTACACTGCTGCATAAAAAACAKCTATTTGACAATCACATGTCTAACCTCTTTGGTTATTTTTGATTATAAGTGGGCCTTGAAAATTAGTAAGCAAACAGCAAACTGTCCAGATCTGATTAATTGAACCAAGCAGAGTTAATGGTATTACAGAACTTAAGATGTGGAATTCTTTTATACGGCGAATTGCCCTTTCTACATGGATTCTTAGACTAGCTATTACTTTAGTCTCCTTTACCTGGTCACTAGTGAACTGCTTATTGCTAGACAAGTATGGAGGTAAATTTAATTCTACTTGTTTACATTGTAAAAGATCTTGTATATCAAAGCCTTTATCAGCCATTACACTTTCATTGGCCTCCAGTAAATCTAAAATACCAGAACACTTTGTAATTTCCTTATCTGAAATCGAACCAGTATACAAGCTCGATACAAAACACATTGCACCGTGTGGTGTGATGCCCACAAGACCCTTTAAAGTGGTACTGCTTTTATAATTACTATACAWTTGACTTTGAAGTAACAAAGAAGATGGAACCTGAACTTTGAGTTCAGTACAATCAATGACTACTTTTGTTGTTGGGAATAAAGACTTAAACCCCAGGGGACTATGACGTTGGACATCCTCTAATGTGGGCCATATTGGTTGAGAACCAAGAAAGAAATATAAGTAATTTGCCCATGTTTCAACTTTTCTACTAACTGTGGATGTATGGATATTAAAACGATGTGCCAAATCCTGTTCTAATGTACCCAATCTCACTCTAACCAAAAATAAAAAAAACTCATCTATTAAGACCATTTTCCTGGCACCAGGACGGTTGTCGGCCATACCACTGGCATAGCAGTACACCATTTTCTCAGCACTTGGTTTAAGCATRTTGAAAATTGTAACTAGATGTTTATAACTAGGGAAACCAGTGTAGAATTTTATATCACTATCATTTTGGAATCTCTCAATACCAAATTTATATATCTTCATGCTTTCAAGCTGAGCCCTTAGGGCACAAATTTCTTCTTCTAAGGACTTCATTGTCTGATCTAGATTTTCTTCTGCTCTTTTCTTCTCTTTTGGGCCATCAGTTGAAGATGATTTTCTAGTGGGTGAATGAATAAAATATAGTTCAACAAAAAATAAAATATTTCTTTCCATACTTACAGACATTTGAGATACTAAAAGGTTTTAACATATAAGATATATTATTGGCAAATGAATAATATGTGAACTATAATCATTCATACCTCACTTTATCTTTTGTAGGTAATTCTGTTTTGTGTATTTCCTGTCTTTCTAATGCAGTATGCCAAGGAAAGTTAACAGGGACTGCATTCCATTTCAATAGCCTTCGTCCAAGATTATCTTTTTGTGGTTTAAAATCTTCTGAGCGAAAATGTGAAGAACATATCCGAGTATTGGGAGTTATCTGAAATCATTGGATATAAATATCACATAATGAATGTATAATATTTTTCTACAAAGTGTCTACAAGTGGTAATAATAAATAAATAAATACATTATAAGCTTTACCTTGAAGTCGCCTTGACGGACTTTTACCAACCATTTAAAACGAAGTTCTGGATTAGCAGGAAAACGATGAAATGATATATTGTTATCAGTTGTAGATTTGCTGGTATTTGAGCAATGCTGTACACAGCAAGTGAATTTCGATGATCTATGAAATATGTAAACTATACATTTTACTTTTGACTCTCGAGAAAAACTATTTTATTATAATGTTAATTTCGATTATTAAGCAGAAATCTACAGTCAAAAGCGACCAAAGATATGTCCTTACTAACAAAATGTATTTTTAAAACTCAGTTTCTTTGTGTAGCACTCGACATCAGCGAAAGTTAGTTTAGGAATAGTGTCAAGACTTAAAGTTTCACTGTCGTAAAATGAGGATATAATGTGTCAAAGTACAATAAACCGCATCAAAATAGTTGTATTTACACATATTCTTTAATTAACTACTAAGAAAAGTCCAAAACTGAAGCGATTTTTTTCAAAAGTCCCGCTTAACTAAGGTCAGGTTACGAAAAATGACGGTCGTGATAAAATCTAAACTTCACACATGCACGTCGTTTATGTMAAGAAAAACTCTGTTTTTTGAATTTACATTTCGATTTCTAGGCACAAATCAACAGCAAAAAGCAACTAAATGTATATTTTTACTAAGAAAAGGTGTGTTACTACGTAGAAATGGCATTACTCACCTTTGTTTTGAAGTCGAAAAAGCCGGCTCCGCCATCTTTGTTTACATTTTTGTCATACCGAAAAGTAGTCGCGCGACCAGCCACAATGGCGGATTAGATCACGTGATCACTTAGTGCAAATCGCGTATTCAAAGCTTCATTGCTTTGAATTAAAGTTCTTGACTGTATGGAGATGTTGTAGTCAAAACTACAAAAGAAAAACTCTTTTTAAACGTTGATAGAAAGACCAAAAA